TAAATATCAGTAACAGGCTGCATTAATCATTTTTGAAGGACTCATAGTGAGCACTTAGTAAGTGGAGCATTATGTTTAAAGACATTTGTTTCTTTCATGTTTCCTCATTCTAGTCTCGTTCTCTCTCCTATCCTTTCTCTCCCTTCTCTCATCACCGATTCCTCACTTCTGTGGTCTCCTCCCCTACCTTCTGCACCTCTTTCCTTATTTCTATTTCCTGTCCTGTCTCCAACCTTCCTGGAGTTCCCTGCCAACATCACTTCTGGACAATTAAGTGGCTCTGTTATGCAGTTAAGGTTTATTTACTTGTTACGCGTTAATTTAATAAATATAATTTTATATTATTAATGATTAATTATTTTAGGTGGTTTATGTTTTTCTAAGACAAAAAAAAAACTATGGTGTGCTATTTTGTTGTATCCTATATGCATCATGGATCTATTGGGGGGAAAGTCATGCCTGTAATATTTAGTTTTCAAAATTTTAAAGACTGTGGAATGTTAGCTTAGTTTATATTATATTACTTCTGGCAGTAGAGAATTCTAATGTTACAGATGCTAATTGTTATATGGTATTTTAGAGATAATAACTAGCAATTGAGTTGAATCTATAGCTACTCAGTAGCATATCTTAGTTAGCTGTTTATGTTTTAAGTAAGAAATTTATAGAAGTTAAGGCTTCTGGACATGTAAATGCTAGACATTGGGAAAATTTACTACTACATTAAGTACAATCTTTCTGTAAGTGTTCAGTGAATAGCCATTGACTGAATGAACATGAAACCAGTAGGCTTTGAAATGTCATAGAATAACATGTTCATACTATGATTCTTTAATACTTTCATAAAGAAATATGTGAGATTTATTTATTCACAGATTTTAAGCATTAGGTTAGATGTGAATAAAAAGAAAAATAAACCCTTCTCTGTCTTTACTCATATTATCAGACCTTTTCTTATTGTAACAATAAAAACATAAGTTTGAAAACAACTTGTAATGACTTTTATTTTATACTAAAAATGACTTAGTGGCATGGTTTAATAGCACTTTAGAATTCTTACTATTCATGGACCATCCCAATGCAGATAATGAAGAAATGATCATGACTTTACAAACAGAAATTGTTAATATACTAGCCAGTGATTTATTCTTGAAAACTTGTGTCAGAGAATAAAATCTCCCCTTTGTCTAAACTGAAGAGGATTTGTGAAAAATTATAATTTGTCACTCAAGATAAACCAAATTTTATTTATATTTTGAGTAGAATTAGACATCATTAACATTAAATCATGCCTTTGTGTGTATTCAATGTAATGGAGGGGAAAATCTTCCAATGTTCTTAGCCATTGGTTTCCACAGTAGTACTACTGCACAGGAGCTCTTTTAATCCATCTTTTTAGTCAGTTTTATAAACCCTCATTTCAAAGGCAGAAGCAACCTAGGTATACTAATTATAGCCCCGACCAGGTAGAAGTAATTAGTAGCTAATCATCAGTAGCATATACTAATTTCAGAAATTTAAGACTGGAAAAAAATTAGCTCTTGAAGAATAGCTACTCTTCTAGGACACCGATCTTCCTTTGGGGCACTGCTAGTTCACTCTTTGGTTGCTGGTAGTCAAGCAATTGGTTATCCCATATAGCAAGTAAGGCAATCTCAGAATGCACAAATCTGAAGTGTGTGTACTGATAGCTTCATTGTGTTAGAATCCTGACCAGTGTTCAATAAAGAAAGCATTAAGATGGAAACTGAGATGCAGAATTGGATTTTAAAAAAGAAGCCAATGTAGGGATGCCTATATCTATCATTTAATTCCTAATTTAATAAAATTTAACCTTTCGTTTATGAGTAAATTACCTTAAAAATTGTCTCCTATATTTTGTGGGGCTGGAGACATGATTTAGTTATTAAGAGCACTTGCTGTCCTTCCAGAAGACCAGGGTTCTCTTTCCAACACCCACATGGCAGCTAACAACTTTTCTTTACTCCAGTTCCAAGGGATCCATTGCCTTCTTCTGGCCTCCGAAGGCATTGCATGCATGTCGTGCACTTACATATATGCAAGCAAAACACTTACACACATAAAATAAAAATAAATTAAATATAGTTTCAAAGAGAAACTCCCTGCTCCTACAGAAGACCTGGGTTCAGTTCCCAGCACTCATACGGCAGCTAACACCTGTCCTTAACTCCAGTTTCAGGGGATCTGATGCTCTCTTCTGGCCTCCTCTGGCAGCAGGCACTTATATAATGCAAACAAAACACTCATAGACATAAAATAAAAATAAATAAAATCTTCTTAAAAATTAAGAAAAAGTGTCTCCTATATTTGGCTTCTGAAATCTATCACAGATACCCCTACTTTGTTACTTAATACTGCCAGTACTGCTAGCACGGCTTCACAAAACCCAAAGAAATAAAACATTTCCTTCCAAGTCTAAGGTGGAAGCCTACACCACCATCAGATCAATGTGATAGTATTCCAGAACATGAGTATGTGGATAATATCATGTTTCCTTTTCTATGTGCTTGAACACATTTTTGAGGACAGATGGATAATCAAGGAACCTCCTCTAATATTGAAATGCCATTTTGAAGTTCATTTCTAAGAAATGTGAATCTTTGAGTCTATGTGTGAAAGGGAAAAGTGAATGATGGTATCCAATTAAGGAAAATGTTAAATTCCATATACTAAAAATAGTTTAAACATGGTGTGCTTTGCAAGGAATCTGTCTTTCCAGTTTATCTAAAATAAATGGCATGCATTCCACTAGAAATATGACTTTATTTTGTTAACTCTTGTATGTGGTTCTTCACTCTACATTTCCTGTTCCATATTTAGATTTTAGCAAACTATACAGTCTCCAGAAGCAAAGTGTTTATGGACTCATTTTAAATATGGGTGTTTATAATTGGTGATAATCTAATGTCTCTAAGGTGTCTGAACTCAGAGCCTCCTCAAGAGATGGGAAAGTCTACATATAGTCACTGTTTATTCTGTTTGGAACAGTGTGATATTTTTTTAATTAAATAGATCAAAAACTTTATGGAAAACCTTCTGATCTCTGCTTTCTTTATTTCCTCTCAAAAGAACTTTTTAAATCCACCCTCAGTGATAATTATATGCTTAGGAAAACAAAGCAAAAATAGAAAAGGGAGACAAACCTCTCTTTATATTGCCCTTGTTCAGAAGTGCTCAAATAAGTCATATATTCTGTCATCTCCGAAAGAATAGTAGCATATTAAATCCACATTTTGTAGATGAAGGAAAAAATGAAAACCATGCAAATTGACTGGCTTACCCAATCTGTGGGTTGAAGAGAACACTATAGTTAAATCCAAGTCTGTTGATAGTAGTCTTACTGAT